TCCTATGAGAACATTAGAGCATACAGAATTTAATTCCTAGACAACAGGAAGTGATTTTATTGTAGCTACCTGACTTTTTCCACCTAAATAGTTTAAAGATACCAGATCCTGTTTTATCTTGGAAGCTATGCAGAGTCAGGCCATCAAGTAATACCAGAGGTGTAGGCTATATATCAAAGAAAAGAAATGAGGAACTACCTCTGTGTCTTCCCTGCTTAGGAAAATCTTGTAAAATTAATGAGATCACCACAAGTCTACAGGTGACTTACAGGCAGGCAGGCACACCAGAGCTTTTCCTTTCTGTCCTCAAAGCATCTAAGTCAGTGGCTCTCAACATTCATAATGCCGCGACCCTTTAATATCATTCCTCATGTTGTGGCGACCCCCAACCATTAAATTATTTTCACTGCTACTTCATAACTATAATTTTGCTACTGTTATGAATCGTAAATATCTGATATGCAAGATGTATTTTCATTCACTGGACCAAATTTGGCACAAATACCCGATACACTCAAATTTGAATACTGGTGGAGTTGGGCAGGGGATTGTTTTTGTCATTTGGGAGTTGTAGTTGCCGGGATTTATAGTTAACCAAAATCAAAGAGCATCCTGAACTCCACCAATGATTGAATTGAACGAAACTTGGCACACAGAACTCCCATGACCAAGAGAAAATACTGTTTTATAATTGTCTTTGGCAACCCTTTGACACCCCCTTGCAACCCCTCCAGGTGTCCCGACCCCCACGTTGAGAAACACTGTTCTAAGTGGTCACCAAAAAAGCCTGCTTGAGATCGCACTGCTAGTCTCATTCTAGGAAAGGAAGGACATGGATTTGAACAGAAAGCCATGAAGGAAGTGAATGAGATCCTCAAGTGTAAAAACATATAATTAAATACTAAAGGCAAAATCATCCAAGCCATAGTATTGTCAATTTCTTTATGGAGTTGTAAAAGTTGGACAGTGACACCAGCTGACTGACAGGGGGAAAAAAAACAAGTAGTTTAACATGTCCTAGAAGAGAGTTCTACAAAGACCTCCTGTCCAGAAATAGTTGAGGTAATTAATATATACCTGGTTCCAGAACTGAGTGTAGTTCTAGGCATCTGCAAGAATTCTTTCAGTACTATATACTGACATACATGACTGCTGCAGCATAAACTTTATTGGTGATAAACGATTCAGAGACAATATACAACACAGAAGCATTCAAGCCCTTTCACTGATGGGCCCCAAAGGCAAAGGTAGATTTCCCCCACCCCACAACAAATTTTACCCAGGCGATCCCATGGTCAAGACCAATGGGTTATTTAGTGCAGAAGCCAATGAAGAAATCAAAATAGTTTAACACCATGCTAGTTCCCTATTTGCTGTTGCTGTGTGCCTTCTGACTTATGGCAGCCCTACGACAACTCTATTGTGGGAGATTTTTTGGCAAGATTTTGTCATGGATAACTTAGAATGCAATGACGAGGAGATGCTGGTAGAAGGCTCAGCAGCTGAGCTGGAGCCCAGCAGTGCCCAGCAGCTTCCTCATCCAAGCTTTGAAAAAGTCCCCATGGAAGGAGCAACTACTTCTCAGCCTGTATAACAAGTGCACGCAAGTTCCTCTGAGCAAGCTGAGGAAGAGTTAACTGTTTCAGCTTTTGCAGACCTGCGAAGAGAGAGGTCTTGGCTGTGCAGATCCTTGAGATTAGCTGAGAAGAAATCCATCAAAAGCTAACGCCTGTGAATTTAAGATTTAAGGAGCTCAGGGATGGCACCTTGTTGCTGGCTGCAGCATTAGTTCTTGTTATCTTGTGTTTCTGAAATCTGGATTTACCTTGAACCTCAGCTGACGGATTCTGATTCAACCTTGCACTCTGGACACTCTAGCATTCAGCTTACAACCCTGGAATAGACATGCATCTTCTTTGTTGTGTTATCCTCTTTGCTGGACTATCGGCTTGACCTCGGACTATTGATGAACAACTCTGCTGGTATTTGGGAGTCAGAGTTTGTGACAATTATTAAGTGATGGGCTGCTTTTAGTTTCCTCTGATGCTGAGAGAGTGTGACTAGTCAAAGTTTGAGGCCACAAGAGACCTATGAGCCACATTTTCCACACTCCTGCTGTACACACTACATACCTTATTTTACTAAGATAGTCATTTTAAAAATCTGTTTCTGTGCATTTTGACAGTTATGTTGGTACAGTTGGCTAGACAAGTCTCAGAGATTACTAAACAAGATTTTGAGGAGCAGCAGAAAAACTCCTGTTTCTGGCATAGTTCCTTGATACTCTATATAAGTAGCAGCTAAAACTCTACACTACAGACTGCAGAGTTCACCAATTAGCACTGAATTCAGACATTTTTTAAATTTAGTTCAGTCTAAATCAGGAATGGGCAAACTTCAGCCTTCCAGATGTTTTGGACTTGAACTCCCAGAATTCCCAGCCATCTTACCTTACCGGCAACTCAATCAAGTTCCCCAAAGAGAGGCTGCCACAATAAAAGACTTTGAAGATAAAAGGAGTAAGGAGAAGACATTTCAAATATAAAAGAAGTGGAGGTATAAAAAATAAATATTTTCCATCTTAATATCATGCTTTTTCATTTCAAAAAATAACATTTTATTTACCATGAAGATAATGAACTAGATGAGATGGACAAACTGACCATGCTGGTTAAGGAGAAGTCTTTGATCAACTTCAAGCAATATTGGGACTTGTCCATTATCTTTTCCCAATAATGATGGGGGCAGTTGTCAAAAGTAGTCAACAGTAGTATACAGTTAGTTGTAGTAGCTACTAGTGGTGCACACTGTACAATGAATGCAGTTTACACCACGTGAACTGCCATGGCTCAATGTTATGAAATAATGGGAGTTGTAGTTTGGTGAGGCAGCAGCACTCTTGGGTGGAACAGGCTAGAGACCGTGTAAAAACTACAATTCCCTTGTTTCCATAGCATTGAACCATGGCAGTTAAAGTGGGGTCAAACTGCATTTATTCTACAGTGTAGATGCACTATAGAATGTAGCTGTGTAGCTTTTGCACAATATATCATAAAACCTTGCTCGTTTGTATGATTACTACCTTTCTATCATGTTACCTTCTTCTAGGCCAGTGGTTCTCAACCTGTGGCTCTCCAGGTGTTTTGGCCTTCAACTCTCAGAAATCCTAACAGCTGGTAAACTCGCTGGGATTTCTGGAAATTGTAGGCCAAAACACCTGGAGACCCAAAGGTTGAGAACCACTGATCTATAGCTTTGGCTAGCATAGGGAAGGCTTCACACCCTTGTGGTGTTTGTTTTGTTATTTATGCCCCTGTTCAGAAGATTTCGTCTCACTTTGGCCCCTTCCACATTGCCCTCATATTCCAGGATCCGCTCCCAGATTATCTTCTTATCCCAGATTATCTGGTAGTGGAGACTCGGGGCCCTCCCACACAGCCATATAACCCAGAATATCAAGAACGATAATCCACAACTCCATGTCAGGAGTGACATGAGAAACTGCAAGTTGCTTCTTGTGTGAGGTAATTGACCATCTGCATGGACATTGCCTAGGAGATGCCTGGATGTTTTACCATCATGTGGGAGTTGGAGTTGACAAATGGGAACTCACCCTGGTCCCTGGATTCAAACCGCTGACCTTTCAGACAGCAGTCCTTCCAGCACAAGGGTTTAATCCATTGTGCCACCAGGGGCTCCACTATAAGGATTAGTGGGAAAGCTTCATCAGACACGCCTTTTCCCCATGATAACATTTCCAGGAGTGGGAGATTTCACTGACTTCCTGTCGTCTCGCCCTTGTTCTTAACTTTATCATTTAAGTCAGATGTTTATAACTTGGAGACTGTATTTGAACGGGTGTCACAATGAGGAGGGAGCGGATTTGTTTCCTGCTGCTCTGGAGACTAGCGCCCCTTCCACACATCTGTATAAAATCCACACTGAACTGGATTATATGGCAGTGTGGACACAGATAATCCAGTTCAAATCAGATATTGTGGATTATCTGCCTTGACATTCTGGGTTATATTTGCAAATGCAGATTAACTGACACAGGAAAATGGAATGCCTAGACAACAATACCAGACAGCATTTTTAACAAGGAGACACTATGAATTTATATTTCAATGATTTGTTTAGTTTTTATTATATGTTATGTTTTTAATTGGTATATTTATGAGCATATTAGTATATTTGTAAGCATTGAATTTTTCCCTGTTAACTGCCTTGAGTCGCCTACGGGCTGAGAAAGGTGGTATACAAATACAGTGAATAAATAAATAAATAAATAAATATGGCTGTGTGGAAGGCACCCCAGGACACAAAGTAGCAACGGATTCCTAGGGCCTTTCTACACAGCCCTATATAATCCCAGCGCAGTGGGTTAAAGCCCTGTGCTGGCAGGACTGAAGATCGACAGGTCGCAGGTTCGAGTCCGGGGAGAGTGCAGATGAGCTCCCTCTATCAGCTTCAGCTCCTCATGCAGGGGACATGAGAGAAGCCTCCCACAAGGATGGTAACACATCAAGACATCCAGGCATCCCCTGGGCAACGTTCTTGCAGACGGCCAATTCCATCACACCAGAAGCGACTTGCAGTTTCTCAACTCACTCTGACACGACCCCAAAAAAAAAATCTGAGTCAAGCGGCTGAGGGGGAAAAGGAAGGGGCCTGAGGCTGTTAGGAATGGTGGGAGTTGAAGTCCAAAACACCTGGAGGGAGGGCCCAAGTTTGCCCATGCCAGTTCTAGAGGCACCATAGGGCTCTTTTGTTTGATATTTTCAAATTGAATCCATAGAAATTGAGTGGGATCTCATGCCTTGATATTCTGGGATATAGGGCTGTGTGGAAGGGCCACTAGACATTGGAACCAACTGGGAGCCTGGCAGAGCGCCCTTCTCTGGCTGGGTGGCCATCTGTCGGGAGGGCTTTGGCTGTGGCCTCCTGCCTGCCAAGGGGGCGGCTTGGGGCTGGTGCCTGTCCCTCCGTGGCTCTGTTACCTGGCGGTGTCGAGGAGCGGGTGCTTGGTGCCGGCCAGCTTGCGCACCTGCATGGCGATGTTGCTGAGCTCGTCACTGAGGAGGCAGCGGAGGCTCATGAAGGAGGTCGGGTAGCCCACGATCTTCTCCGCCTCCGAGACCACTTTGCTCCAGTGGGAGCCCGACCGGGGGGAGCCCGAGAAGAGGCGCCGGGCCTGCCTCGCTTCCCTGCCTCCTCCTCCTGCTAGAAAAGACCGCCAAGGCCTGCGGGGGAAACTCCAGCGCAGCATCTTAGCGGGCGCCGCTTGACGAAACTCCCTCCGTCCTAGCAGCCCTCCTCACTCCTGCTGAGGGAACACCTCCGCTCCATGGAGGCGGCCATCTTAAGTGTCGCAAAAGCCAGGCGACGAGCGCGTGCTTTGCTTTACGGCTCCCTCTGGCGGGGCGGGGCGGGGCGCCTCGGGGAAGGCGAGAGCCAGGCTGATGGGCTTCTTGTTGTGCCTTGTGGGGGGTTTTTGGAGCTGAGGTCTTCAAGGCACCTGTTTTCCCCAACTCTCTGAGGGAGTTGTCCTAAACCAGTCCGCTTGAAGGCACATAATTAGAAAAAGTTGGCAATTTCCTTGGCAGCCAACTGTGTACAAAAGTCAACATTGACACTGAAATAAAACACCGCCTGAGCTCTGCGAGTGCAGCATATTTCCGAATGAAGCAGAGAGTGTTTGAGGACCGGGACATCCGTAGAGATAACAAGGTGCTTGTTTTTAAAGCTACTGTCCTCCCAACACTGCTATACTCCTGTGATATGTGGACAGAGGCAGTCCTAGGTAATTTTCAACGGTAAGCAAACAGTATTTTGCCCCCCCCCCTGCCCCAACCAATCACTGATATATATTTTCTGTTCGTCGTGGGAGTTTTGTGTGCCGTATTTGGTTCAATTCCATCATTGGTGGAGTTCAGAATGCTCTTTGATTGTAGGTGAACTATACATCCCAGTAACTACAACTCACATATGTCAAGGTCTATTTTCCCCCAAGAGCGCCTCAAGAGCACCCCTGGGCAAAATCAACTATACTGCAAATGCTTACTTTGCATAATGGGTTGAGCCGCCCCTGAATGTGGACTATCTACAGACGTCACATGCAACTCCTGGACCGAGTCCATCAGCGTTGCCTCCGAAAAATCCTGCAAATCTCTTGGGAAGACAAGAGGACAAATGTCAGTGTGCTGGAAGAAGCAAAGACCACAAGCATTGAAGCGATGGTCCTCCGCCATCAACTCCGCTGGACCAGCCATGTTGTCTGAATGCCTGCATACTGTCTCCCAAAGCAGTTGCTCTACTCCGAACTCTAGAACGGAAAACAGAATGCTGGTGGACAGGAAAAGAGATTTAAAGATGGACTCAAAGCCAACCTTAAAAACTCTGGCATAAGACACTGAGAATTGGGAAGCCCTGGCCCTTGAGCGCTCCAGCAGGATGTCAGCTGTGACCAGCAGTGCCGTAGAATTTGAAGAGGCACGAATGGAGGGCAAAAGAGAGAAACATGCCAAGAGGAAGGTGCGTCAAGCCAACCCCGACCGGGACCACCTTCCACCTGGAAACTGATTCCCTCACTGTAGGAGAAGATGCAGATCAAGAATAGGGCTCCACAGTCACCTATGGACCCACCAGTACACTGATCTTGGAAGACTATCCTACTCGGACAGCAAGGGGTCGCCTAAGAAGAAGACATAATCCCTGGAAGGACTCAGCCAAACTGCATTAATCCCACAGTGCAGATAAGGCAGTGTAGATAAGGTCACAATAGATAGTGTAGATAAGGCATGGGCAAACTTGGATCCTCCCTCCAGGTGTTTAGGACTTCAACTCCCACCATTCCTAACGGCCTCAGGTCCCTTCCTTTTCCTCCTCAGCCACTTAAGTTCTGACAACTCCCTAAGAGTTTGGTAACAAATCAACGCTTTATTTCCTCCTGTTATGAGCAGTGTTGCACTCCAGGACAGGAAAAACCCTCTGACTGTGAACACCACGCCGTTGATTGGAAAACAATCCTTTTATTGAAGATAATTAAAAAGTAGCAAGTAAAAAGCACTTAAAAGAAATAGGTAAATCCAATTAGGTAAGAAGATAAGCAGGAGCAAAATAGTTCAAAGTAAAGTTCAGCAAAGTCCATAAAAACAAAGGCCACCCTTCTCTACTATAATCCAGAAAACCAGGAAACGTTAATCCAAGGAACTTAGCACATGATCACAAAATCCAAGAATTAAAACCATGAATCAAAGGTACTTAGCACATGAATCTTTCCAAGGCAAGGCTTCCAAGCAACAGGAACGAGATCTTGACTTGATTCCAAATGATGCTTCATCTGACTACAGATCCTGTACTTGGGACTTTTGCGGGCTGATTTTTCAGGGGGGTTCAGGGGGGGTGGTTTGGGGGGGGGGCTGAGTCTGAGTGAAAGAGGGTCTAGCCTAGCAAACCTTTTGTATCATTACCCCAATACCCCCATGCATATGGGATATATTGAGTATGGTGATCAGATCATGATCTGAATAAACGTAACAGTTTAAATAATGCACCAGTAAGGCCTTTTCGTGAACCACCATGAGAATTTCGGGGGGGGGCTGAAGCCCCTCAAGCCCCCCCCCCCCCGGCTACATGCCTGCATTTGACTATATTTCCCATAGTTGGAACTTTTATCCCCTCGTTAAGCTATCCCCAGCACTCAGAAATTGGTTTTGCTTTAATTGAGATTCCTTTATCTTTTTCTGCCAGATTCTGGCAGACTGCTGAAGCCACTGTTCGGTCTGTCTGTTTTGACTAATCTCCTGCCTCCTATCTATTTGCTCATTAAGTTTTGCAGCTGGGCCAGGTGCCCAGTTGTTTTCAAGCCCCAAATCCTGGGAACTCTCTGGTAACAATTCAGGGAGTACACCATCATCCCCACACCCTTCAGAGACATACTCATGGGAAACTACACTTTGCACAGGGGTCTCTGCATCAGTATCATTGACCAAACCATTGTCATCTTGAAATTCATTGGCAGCACTTCCCACATCCAAAGCACCCTGATAATAAACACAATCACAGGCTGAACTCTAACAGACAGATAGATGTCACCATCACCCTTTCCATCTGTCTGTCCATCTGCCTCCATGAGCCTCAAGACAAGTTTGGAATGTCTGCCCACGGATTTACATCTCCTTCATTTCTAATATTTAGGTAAAGTAAAGACAAAGGTTTCAACTTGACATTAAGTCTAGTTGAGTCCGACTCTGCGGGGTGGTGCTCATCACCATTTCTAAGCTGAAGAGCAGGCATTGTCCCTAGACACCTCCAAAGTCATGTGGCCAGCATGACTGCATGGAGCGCCGTTACCTTCCCACAGAGGCAGTACCTATTGATCAGCTGACATTTGCATGTTTCTGAACTGCTAAGTTGGCAGAAGCTGGATGGGAACCACCAACCTTTCCGACATCAAGTTCAGCAGCTCAACGGTGTTTAACTCACTGTGCCACCAGGGTTTGATATTTCTACATAACGCAGGTGAAACATCAGGAGAGAATGCTTCTGGGAAAATGGCCATACATCCCGGAAAACTCCACAACAACTCAGTGATTCCGGCCATGAAAGAAAGCCTTGGACAATACATTTCTAGATAAAGAACTGGAAGGATATCAACTGAATGTAGGACCCGAGAATAAGTAAGAATTAATTACATGTCCTCAGGGCTGTAAAAAAAATAATGTAAAACCTATTAAAGAGAGGCTTTCCCTGGTTGACCTTTCCCCACCTTCTCTCAACCCGAACTTTTATTTGGGTTAGATAGATTAGATTAGATAGATATCAGGCATGGGCAAGCTTGGGCCCTCCCTTCAGGTGTTTTGGACTCCAACTTCCACCATTCCTAACAGTCTCAGGCCCCTTCTTTTCTCCCCTCAGCCACTTAAGCGGCTGAGGGGGAAAAGGAAGGGGCCCGAGACTATTAGGAATGGTGGGAGTTGAAGTCCAAAACACCTGGAGGGCCCAAGTTTGCCCTTGCCTGTTGGAGTAGCACGATAGGGCTCTTTTGTTTGACATTTTCAAATTGAATCCATAGAAACAGAGGGCAAAATGTATATACTTAATTGCTATGTTTTAAAAAGTGACCAGCAAATTATTAAAGTTCCATAGTTCTGTAGCTACTGACATCTCTAAATAGAAACTTTCATAGAGGCAAACAGCAAACCTGCAGTTTTCCTCAGTGACAGGATAATTATATTTTCTCGATAAACTCTGAAGAGCAAATGGACTAGTATTGTACCTAGTGTTGCTTAGAAAAGTGGGGAGGCCTACAATTTCAGTGCAACTAATGGGAGAAATCAAATATGCATATTGCTTCTGCTGTCAAGAGCACATTGCACATAGGAGTCATGGAGGGAAAGGCTGTAGCAAGTTGTATGTGTGAAGTTCTGTACCGCAAGGTGAAGTCAGTATTTATTTGTTTCATTTATTTTGTAACTTGTCTTCCTCCCTCAGTGCAGACTGGCTGTTGTGTGCCTTCAAATCACGTCCAACCTATAGCAACTCCAAGGTTATTCTATTTCTGGGGTTTTGGGCACTATTTGATCAGAAGGAGTTTGATATTGTCTTCCTATAAGACTGAGAGAGTGGGACTTGGTTGAGGTCCTGCAATGCATTTCCATGGCCAAATGAAGGTTTGGACCCTGTAGTCCAGTGGTTCCTAATCTTTTTTTTTTACCAGGAACCACTTGACCAGGGACCCCTTTGATCAGGGACCATTCTCTAGCATTAGTACCAAAAGTGTTAAAAATCAGTTTTTGGTCAACTTTAGATTCGGTTTGGTTATTTGGGGTGCTGATTCAGAAAATTGCATTGGATAGACCACATCAGCTCTAGTTTCCAATACAGGACATACGCCATCCATTAGTCGCCATCTGCTTGCCCACAGAAAACCATATTTAATAAGCCTCAGCACTATAAGAGGGTTTCCTGAGACCAGTTGTTCTTGCTGCAACGGTGTGTTAACAGTGTGGCCGCAGACTACCATGCTACATACCAATTTGTGCTGCTTTAATTGACTAAATTGTGCTGCTTTAATTGACATTTTATTTACTCCATTTCTTCTCTTCATACCTGTTCTGTATTCCCATTTTCAAAGCAGTTTAAACTACACTTTCAGAAACTAATTTGTCATGTTGATTTCTAACAGAGCTTAAATGCAATCAAGCTTCTGTTGATTTGGTTCAGGAAACATTTATGAACTTGTGAATACTTACTCAAAACTTGAATTCAGTGTTCTCTCCTCTGCATCTCCCCACACCGGGCAAAACCTTGGAACAGACTTAGGATGTGCTAAGTAGGAGAGAGACATTTTCTTTTATGAGTAATACT